ACCCACACGCACGCACACATGCCTACCACAAAGCCCCCCCCCCCAGCTCAGCACCTCCGGCCAGAGAGAGGAATGGAGCTGCAGACCCACTCTGGAGGCGGAGGAAGGTCTTCTCAGAAGGAAGTCCTGCTCTGTTCGGTGGGATGGGTAGGACTGCAGAGGAGGGGGGCTGAAGGGGGAGGGGGCTTTCACAGGAATTCAGGATTCATCCCTCCAGGGCTTGGGCTGGAGCCAGTCTTCTTCAATGGGCCCCTATAAGAGTTGAAAGGTAAATGTTTCCCTTCCTCGAAAGCCAGTCGAATTCGACTCTAGGGTTGTGGTGCTCACCTCCGTTTCCAAGCTGAAGAGCCAGCACTGTCCGAAGACTTGTCTGTGGTCATGTGGCTGGTGTGACTAACCGTTGAGGCGCACAGAACGCTGTTCCCTTCCCACCGAAGCGGTACCTATTTATCTATTTGCGATTTCTTGCTTTCAAACTGCTAGGTTGGCAGGAGCTGGAGCCAGAGACAGGAGCTCACTCTGTCATGTGGCTCTTGGGTCTTTGAACTGCCGAACTACAGACCTTTCAGTCTGCAGCTGAGTGTCTTAACCTCTGAGCCACCACAGCCCCTATAAGACTTTACAAATATGTAAAATACATTTTCCCAGCCAAACAACATACATACTTCTCATAGTCCATGAATACAGTGTGTGTGCATCTAATGATCCTGCTAATGAGATAGTTTCTTGGAGGTGGAGTTGATCCTCAAACACCTTGGGTGCTGCCTGTACCTGCTGACCAGAGCACCTGCCCTCCGCTGGATCTGGCTGGAGAGGAAGGTGCTGCTAAGCATGTGCGAAGTGCCTGGGCCTGGCCGACAACAACCAAACTGTCTGCATCAAGAATGAACTGCTGGGCAGGACTGAGCCCCAGCAACACCTCTCATGTTGCAGACTAAACACCCCACACACCTGGGGGGTTTCCCCCCAAAAAAGAAACAGCTGGAAGGGTCCCCCAATGGCCATCTAGTCCAACCCCCTGTACAATGCAGGAAACAGCTAACCCCCACACTCCCTCAGTCACTCCTGCTCTGTGCCCAAAGGAAGGCAAACCCCCTCCAGGATCCCTCGGGCAATCTGGCCTGGAGGGAAACTCCTTCCTAAGCCTAAAGTGGCAATCGGCATTACCCTGGACATGTAAGAAAGGGCCACATCCCTTCCTGCCCTCCCTCTCGTGATCTGCCTGAATTCACAGAATCAGCATGTGGCTCTCAGATGGCCAGCTAGCCTCTGCTTACAAACCTCCAAAGAAGCCTGTTCCAGTGAGGAACCACCCTGTCAGGAAGTTCTTCCTAAGGGTTAGCTGAGAATTCTTTTAATTTCACCCCGTTGGTTCTGGGTCCGACCTTCTGAGGCAACAGAACTCCGCTCCATCCTCTGTATGACAGCCCTTCAAGTACTTAAAGACAGCTATCATATCATCTCTCAGTCGTCTCCTCTCCGGGCTACACATAACAAGCTCCTTCAAACTTTCCTCATAGGACTTGGTCTCCAGACCCCTCACCCTCTTTTTTGCCCTCCTCTGGACACGTTCCAGCTTGTCGGTATCCTTCTTAAACTGCAGTGCCCAAAACTGAACACAACACTCCAAGTGAGGGCCAACCAGAGCAAAGCGATACCATCACTTTGCCTGATCTGGACACTATACCTCTGTTGATGCAGCCCAAAATTGCATTTCCCTTTTTAGTTACTGCATCACGCTGCGTGCTGACTCACATTCAGGGTATGATCTCCTAACCTGTCTAGATGTGTGGTTTTAATGTTCGGCAAGGACTCAACCCTGGCTCGCTCGCTCGCTCTAGCTGAGTCGTGTTGCATAAGCTCCGTGCAAACCACGATGAGCCTGCTAGGGAAAAGTGGGGAAACGGGGGGGGGGGACTCAGTGGTGTACAAGCAAAACCCAGATAGCGACAGATGGGAGTGCAAAGAATGTGCAGTAAACAAGTCTGTGTTCCCCACCCCACCCCCCACGGCCGGTCAGCCGGCCTGCCAAACACTGGGGAGCTTGAACTCCGCACAGCAGGCCCCCCTCCCCCTTGCCAACCTCCCGCAGTCACCGGCTGCGGCTCTCTTAAGCGCTCAAAACGAAGCACTCAGATTGGGGAAAGAGGTGGAAAATACGAGCAGCACCACCCATGAGGTGGAAGCCAAGCGTTGGGCAGAACTGATGATGAGCGGCAGACTGATGGGACCGGAGCGGCCCGGCCGCTCTCTGGGTCCAAAAGGATCTGCACTGAAGCCGCAAAAAAAGGCGAGCGCAGTTTCCAGGCAGCCGCCCCGTGGCGATGGAGCCCAGCTCCGCTCTCTCCTGTGCTAGCCGGGCTCCCGCGTGGGGCTGGGGAGAGGTGCCCCTCGTACGGGCACACAGTGAGCGGGGGGGGAGGTGGGCAGGAGCAGTGCCCCTACTGCCTGTGCCCCCTCTACCTACCCCTCCCCTGTGCCAGCTACCCCTCCCTTGTGCCGGCACAGAAGTGCCAAGGCAAGTGCGTGTCCCTCCTCCTTCACCGCTCGATTTGGAAAGGGGGGAGCCCATTCAAGGGCTTCAAAGGGGGTGGTGGAGCACAGCTCTGCCCCCCAGATCCCCCTTCGAGTCCAACCAAAGGGTGTGTTCCCTTGATCCGCCTCAACGTACGGGAGCCCCACGTTGCACGGGGAAGGAGCGCCTCGTCCCCCCAATGGGGGCAGCCAGCTGGCCAGAGGGCAAAACACGCACACACACCCCATGCGCAAGCAGCCCCGGAGCCCCCTATTCGGTTGTGAGCTCTGCCCCTGAGGAAAGACGGGGACGGACAGGAAGGGGTTCAGAGTGATGGCGAAGGGTCCCCCTCGGACAAGCTCGGTCTGGAGAAAGGGAGCCCTGAGGGGAGACAGACAACACGGCCCTCCACAGGCACCCAAAGGGGAGATGGCAAAGACCCAGGAGGTCTTCGGTCCCGGCTGGCCTCTCCACTGGCCAGAATGCCCCTGCTTTCGGCTTGAATTTTGCACCCTGCGTTGATGTTGAGGCCGTTCCCCTCCTCCTGCACCGAATGCCTGGGGCTGACCCAGCTGCCGGCGGGGGCCTCTCGCTCGTGGAAAGACCCCCGGGTGGTTCTGTCCTTCCCAACACAGGCCTGAGGGTACAAGCAGGAGCTGGCCACGGGGAACCCGTGACACACACACACACACACCCGTGTCCCCCCGTCCCCCCAGAGCCACAGCCGCCTGACCCGGCCCGGCCCTGCCCTGCCCGCTGGCTGGGAGCACCGCCGCTATCTTATCGCAGGAGGAGAAGCCAGAGCAGAGCAGGAGGAGGACTTCCTTTCTCTGGCCTTCTCCATTGTCGGCCGGCCGAAGCATGAATGGGAGAGAGGGCCCCTCCCCAACCGAGGGGGGCTGAGTATAAAAGAACAAAAATAAAATTTAAAAAAGGACAGGCTGGGCGATAAGTAAGCGGGTCTCCAGCTCTCCCCCGGCCCACACAACTCACAGTCTAAAACAGTGCCGGGGGGGGGGGGGGGGGGGGAGGACATGAACAAAAGCAGTTCTTCTTTTGAAAGGCTGTTGAGCCATATTGGACCACACAAAATCCAAAGACTGGAATCCGTGTGATACCTTTGATGAGGAAGGAGCAACCAAAGGGACACACCTCTTGAGCTCACCAGAAGCCCTTTGCCAGCCTTAGTGCCAGGAAACCTAGAAAGGCCGGAGGGTCAAAGGCAGACCTCCGTTTCTGACCTCGCAGGCCCCCTGTCCGGTGAGAGACGCCAGCGGGCGGGTAGCCAGCGCTACGGCTGTCCGTCTTTGCCCTCTCTCGGTGGCACACAGGAACCACCCACCCCCGACCCTCCGTCAAAAACTCATCTCGGATACCTCGTCTCAAAACTGGCCACCCTCGGGAATTAGTAGGGGGAGCGCTGAGCAAAAGCCATGCAGGAAAGGAAGGATTGGACGGGAGAGAGGGAGGAGGCCCGAGGGACACATCCGCAGAGGGGAGCCAGGTTTGAGTCCGGCTGCACCTTAAGAGATCGGGGGGGGGGAAGGGCAGGATAGAAACCAAGGAAATCACCACCACCCCCAGGGTTCCAGGGCAGGAGCTTTCGAGAGTTCAAACACCCTACCTGGTGAAGGGAACTGGCTGGGCTCTGCCCGTGGACGCTCGTCTGCCCGTGGTCCTGCAGAGCACAACGTGGACTCTTGAGAGCTCCCACCGCGGGAACCTTGTGGGGCCCCCAAGGGGCTCCTGGGCTTGAATCTGAGCCTACCCTCACCCACGGGGCAGGTCCTGACGGAAAGGCAAGAGTCCAGGGGCACCTTAAGGACTAACAGAATTTGTGACACTGCGTATGAGCGTCTGTGAGTCACTCTGCTCACTTCTTCAAGTAAAAATAAACAATTAGGCTTTCTGAGCTTAACCAGAAACTTGGATCAGTTTGGAAATCCCCTTGATTAACTGAGCTGGGTGACACAACATAAACCACATTCATACCTATAAAAATGTGCAAATCCACCTGCAAAAGAATCCCTTCTCTGGAACACCCTGGAATCCTCTAAAGGGGGGGGGGGCGTAAGACCCGCTTTCCTTCAAAGGCTGTCTGGGCCAGAGCCCTCTGAGGGAGCATGAAGGCGTCATGGCGTGTGAGCGTCACGTTACAGCATGGGGCTAAGCCGGGCCTCCCAACCGTGGGAGTTTCTGTGGGGGGACACCCTCCCTCCTAAGTCAGAGACCAGGACCTGACATGGAGCAAGGGCAGCCCTTCAGCAGCGGCCAGACAAACCCTGGTCAGGGATCCTTTAGGCTGACCCTGCACTGAGCAGGGCGTTGAACGGGATGGCCTCTAGGGCCCCTTCCAACGCTAACGACTCTATGAACTACCAGGGACCCCCCCCCCCTCAGGCCGCCAGAGCAGGGACGGGGGCCACACAGTCCCGCAGGTCTGCCTGCAACGCACTCACAGAAGGCAGATGAGGAAAGGCAAGGAAACTTTATTCCGAAAGAGCTGGGGCCGCCTTCTGCCAAGCGGGACTCGAAGGGGCTCCAGGCACCAGCCAGAGGGACGCCTGAGCGGCTCTCAGTTGTAGCCGGAGCAACGCAGGTGCCCAGTCCTCGGTGCTCCGGGAGTCCTCTCTGGAATATGCGCTCCCCACCCACCCACACCCACCCCCCGCGAGCCAGAAGGAGGCCTGGCGCCGAAGGTCCATCAGGCATCCAGGTGCTTGGTGAGGCGGCGGACCTTCTCCTTCTTGTTCCGGTTGCCGTGCTTCTTCCAGGGCTTGCCTGGGCTCGCCTCCTCGGCGGCCCTGGAGCCCACCAGAGACCGGGTCCCCCGCGTCAGGACTCGGACGCTCTCCTGCCAGAAAGATGGATTCCTTCAGCAGACCCTTTTTCCCGGTCCTCCCGCCAAGCAGTCCTGTGAGGGGGGGGCGCCCCAGGGGAGTGGGCCTCGGTCTGCAGCACAGCAGTCGGGCGGGGGCGGGTGGTGGGTGGGGAGGAGCTTCCTTTGCCAGACACCTGAGGGGGGAGGGGGCCTCGTTCCTCGACAGCTCACCCCCCAGGCAGCCTCGTGGGTCTCTCAGGGGCTGCTGGACTGGAGTCCCCGTGGGGGGAGGAGGAGGGCTGGCAGGCGGGCGGGGAGGAGGAGGGCTGGCGGGCGGGCGGGGAGGAGGAGGACTGGCCCAAAGCCACCCCAGCCAGCTTCCACGGCAGGCAGAGGGGGGGGGCTCAGACCGGGGTCCTCCCAGCCCAGCACACTAACCGCTACACCGCTAGGTAAGGAGGGAGGCCAGGGGAAGGGCCCCCCCCCGGCTGAGGGGCCAGCATCCACAGAAGGCAGCGAGGGCAGAGTCCAGCACGGCGGCCCAAGGGTGCCCGTCAGCCCCCCAGGCCCCACCCCGCCTTCCTCTGGCCTGCAGCACGGAACCCGGGAGAGGCTAAGGATGCCGGAGCTACACCAAGCTGGGAAGCAGCAGGGCCTGACCTCCGCCCTCCACGGATCCCGCCCACAACCTGCTCTCCAGCAGCTGTCCCCAGGCGGAGGCAAGGGAAGCAGCAGCAGGAGCTCCCTCCCCGCCATCTCCTCTCCTGGACCTGCCGCTCGACAGGAACTCTCCGGCTGCAGGAGGGCAGGGGCCAGGCAGTGCCCGGAGCAGGACATTCCGTGGCCCGTGGCGTGCCGCCAAAACCCCACAGAACAGGCCCTTCCCTGGCACAGGGGAGTGGCACTGCGGGGGGGGGGGAAACCCATGGCTTCCCCTTTACATCCCCTGCTGCCGCCCTCTTTGTGTGGATCGCCGTTTCAGGCTTGAAGGTGGGTGTCCTGTCCTGGCTGGGTGGCTCCACCCGCCGCTTGAGGGCGCAGGAGGCGGTGCGGCTGCCCAACTCCTTGTCTGAGCTGGGGAGGCTGGCGGTGCCCATCGTGTGGCTCACCCCTGCCACCCCCGTGCTTGCCACTGCCAAACCGAGTGCATCAATCCACCACCACAGATGGAGGCTGGTGCCACGGGGCCATCCAACTCACCGGGCCCCTTTAAAGCACACTGGGGTGGGTGGGTGTGCCGTGGAGTCCAAGTGGATTTTGGAACTTCTTTGTGATTAGCAAGCACTCACCAGGATTTCTTTTGGGCACCGGAGCCTTTAACAGGTAAGTGGCAGGAAGGATGGGGCAGCATGCCAAGTCCCCACCCACCACCACCTCCTCCTCCTCCTTTTCTGGGTATAAAAGTTAAACCCCAACCATGAAATCTTGTGATCTTATAGAAATCCCTGGCTGTGGGCCTGCCGCAGAAGCAGGCAAGGAGGTGACCGCGGAGGCCGAGCTTGTCTCCCCCCCCCACGCCCCCCTACTCACCTGGTGGAAGAAGGCCTGGTCCACCGTGTTCTCCACCTGCTTGGCCTTCGGGTTCCGGCTCGCTGGCCTCTCTGCCCGGGGTAGCCTGCCTTTGCCCGCAGCCCCCCCTCTGTGGCAGAGCTGGAAGGCCTCAGGGTCGGCTCCAGGAGGGGGGTGGCAATAGAGCAGCTTTCCCTGCGAGGAGAGGAGGAGAGTCCAAAGGGATCCGGGTTCACACTCGGTCCCCCCCCCCCGTGGCTTTGACCGGCATGCAAACCACAAAAAATAAAATAAAAAATAAAAAGGAAACCGTGCAAAAACGGCTGCAGTTTATATCACAAAAGCCTATATTTCCATGTAATGCTGAAAGTCCATTTATTTTCTTCAGACACACAATCAAAGACATCTTCACAAGGTAATGACGGCAAAACTTTCTAATCCAACCTGTTATGATTAGCTTGCCTGCTTTGTGAAAACATGTATTAGAATTTATTCCATGGCACGGATTAGAAACTGTATATTTTGAGAATGGAAGGATTGCTCTTTGAAAAATAAGGAATGACATCTTTGTGTTGTTGATCTTTGATGGAGTCTCTACGAAACGGAAATAGTTAATCCGGAGAGTTTCGGGAAACTCATTCCCCTCCCCCTCGACCTTCCCTCTTGTTCCCCCCCCCCCAGCAGCTTCTGCCTGCTCCCCTCACCCACCCAGCTTGACTTTTCCTTGTGAGTCTGACTTTCCCTCCCCGGCCCCTGGTGGCCGACCCTGAGGCTTGAACTCCTTGGCCACGCTGGTCAGGGCTGCCCGGCAATCCCCCAGAAGGCCACCGAGATCTCACCACAACACAGCCTCGTGAGATCTCAACAACATGCTTCCTTTTCTTGAAGAAGCAGAGGCTGCTGCTAGGTTTTTAAGCCTTCTTTTTACACTTAACATAGTTCTGCAAACCTAGGCCTTTCCCCAGGCGTAGAGAAAATACACCCCCCAAAAAAAATCTATCCAAGGCCCCCATTTGCAGATTCTTTGATCCATACCCAGAGGTCATTGTCCAAAGATAGATATAAGGATGCCTTTTTTTAAAACTTCGTTTTAACCCCCTTCCTTCCCTGCTCCAAGAAGTCCAGGGCAGCAAACACGGTCCTCCCCTATTCCATTTCATCCCCACAACCAACCTTTGCTCCTCCAGTACAAGAATGCAGGCAGAGACAAAGAATCCATGTTCTAAACCATTTAAACCGCAAGCCAGAGACCTGTGGGAACTTTGGGGGTCGCACCTCCCCCTGCCCACGAAGCTGTGCCACTTCCCGTGTAACTTACAGCAACGTAATCCTTCAGCACGTAGCGGGCGGTGCGGGGCTGGTCCGGCTGCCCGTGATCCGTCATGAACCCCCTCATGCCTGGGGGGGGGGGCGGGGGGGCGGAAGGGAGAAGAGAGATGGGCGTTACGAGGCCAGAAATCCTCTCAGCCGGCTCAGGGAAGGAGAGTTCCCGCAGGAGGCAAGCGGACACAGGAAACCCCCCGGCAGACCTCCGGGCGGAGCCGGACGCTGGAGCCCCAGAAGCAGGGAAGGGGTCAGGACCAGGACCAGTGCTCCCTCTAAGCTGTGGAGTCTCATGAGCAAAAATCCTACTTTGTGAGCTCCTGGCATTAAAGTGGTGAGCGAGGGATTTGGCTGCTGCATAAGTTAATTTGGTCTGGAGCCATCCTTCCTGAGCTGAGACAAAAATGTGGGAGCCAGAGGCTAAAAAAACTGTGAGCTGGCTCACACTGACTCAGCTTAGAGGGAACACTGCCCAGGACCAATGCTCCCTCTCTAAGCTGTGGAGTCTCGTGAGCAAAAATCCTACTTTGTGAGCTCCTGGCATTAAAGTGGTGAGCGAGTGGTTTGGCTGCTGCATCATCAATTAGTTCGCTGTGGAGCCCTCCTTCCTGAGCAAAGACAAAAATGTGTGAGCCGGAGGCTAAAGAACTGTGAGCCGACCCACACTCACTCAGCTTAGGGGGAACGCTGGTCCCAGGAGGACAGAGCAAGGTGCCTCCAAGCACAGGCCACAGCCCCACCCCCTGCAGCTGGACTACGAGCACTTCTCTTCCCATGAAAAATTCCCTGGAGAAGGCTGGGTACGGCGTCCATCCCTTCTCCTCTCCAAAACCTCAAAGAACTCTCAGCAGAGCCCCTGCTCTCAACAACCAGCCCGGGGGCGGGCGGCGGCGGTGGTCCTTCAGCGCCAGCCGCACGACTCACATCCATAGGCTGTCAGGAGTTCCTCGGACGTCGGCGGCCGGTCGGGCACCTCGTCCTCCCGGGGCCGGACAATGTTGATGCTGTAGGTCGCCTCCAAGACATCTCGCGGGATGCGCTGGCACACGTGTCCAAGTGAAGGAGCCAAACCGGGGCGGAGGCGGGGGAGACAGCCCACCTTCTCCCAACCAGGGCAGCCCTCTCCCCCCCCCCCCCCCCGCGCCGGGCACGCCTTCCTGTGGCACGCAGCTCTCGGGCCCTGGGAATTAGCGGCTTCTGCGCTTTGACCTCCTGCACTTCGGGGTCCAAACAGACCCAGCCCAGAAGCCCAACGGCAGGCAGCCTCCCGGCAGCTGCAGCCACCCACCCCCCTCTCCCACACACACAAACACACACAGACAGACACAGAGTCTGGTGCTCAAAGTGCTTCACAAGCTGAGTTGGGAAGGGGGTCAAGGCAGCCACTCGGAGGGGCTCTGCGGGGGCTGCCGGAAGGCAGGCTGGGAATGGAAGGAGCAACAGCAGAGGGGAGAGGGGAGGG